ACGAACTTTTGGGACAACCTGATGAAAATTTATGTTGCTCTAAAATTTACCTGAAAAAGGCCCAACATGAAGAATTGTACTTAAAATATAGATGCAAATAAAATTATAATTGAAATGAATAAATTTGAAATATTTGCAGAGTTTCTTTATTAATATATTGGGAGGCAAGCTTTCGCACGGTCGCTCTTCATCAGTCTAGATCGGTATAATCTTTCCTGCCAATATTTTAATAAATAAACTCTGCAAATATTTTAAATTTATTCAATTCAATTATGCAGAATTGTGTTATAAAGTGTGTTTAAAGTTCACACAGTTCCACGCCTGTTCAACAGGATTATCTCGCAACTTCCTTAGGTGTATTGATCCATCGAACTCGTCAGTGCTGATGGGGCAGAGCAACGGCCGACCTTGCTGGCAGCTGTTGTACATATGTCAACTACACCGAAGGACACCAACCCGACAACGCGTATCAGTCACCTGTGGAAATGTCACGTCTTGGACTCCAGAACAACTGTCAACTATACAGAAGGACACTAACCCGACACTGAGTAGCAGTCACCTGTGGAAATGTCACGTCTTGGACTCCAGAACAACTGTCAACTACACAGGAGGACACCAACCCGACACTGAGTAGCAGTCACCTGTGGAAATGTCACGTCTTGGACTCCAGAACAACTGTCAACTACACAGGAGGACACCAACCTGACACTGAGTAGCAGTCACCTGTGGAAATGTCACGTCTTGGACTCCAGAACAACTGTCAACTACACAGGAGGACACCAACCCGACACCGAGCATCAGTCACCTGTGGAAATGTCACGTCTTGGACTCCAGAACAACTGTCAACTACACAGGAGGACACCAACCCGACACTGAGTATCAGTCACCTGTGGAAATGTCACGTCTTGGACTCCAGAACAACTGTCAACTACACAGGAGGACACCAACCCGACACCGAGTAGCAGTCACCTGTGGAGATGTCACGTCTTGGACTCCAGAACAACTGTCAACTACACAGGAGGACACCAACCCGACAACGCGTATCAGTCACCTGTGGAAATGTCACGTCTTGGACTCCAGAACAACTGTCAACTACACAGGAGGACACCAACCCGACACTGAGTAGCAGTCACCTGTGGAAATGTCACGTCTTGGACTCCAGAACAACTGTCAACTACACAGGAGGACACCAACCCGACACCGAGTATCAGTCACCTGTGGAGATGTCACGTTTTGGACTCCAGAACAACTGTCAACTACACAGGAGGACACCAACCCGACACTGAGTAGCAGTCACCTGTGGAAATGTCACGTCTTGGACTCCAGAACAACTGTCAACTACACAGGAGGACACCAACCCGACACCAGGTATCAGTCACCTGTGGAGATGTCACGTTTTGGACTCCAGAACAACTGTCAACTACACAGGAGGACACCAACCCGACACTGAGTATCAGTCCCCTGTGTAAATGTCACGTCTTGGACTCCAGAACAACTGTCAACTACACACGAGGACACCAACCCGACACCGAGTAGCAGTCACTTGTGGAAATGTCACGTCTTGGACTCCAGAACAACTGTCAACTACACAGGAGGACACCAACCCGACACCGAGTAGCAGTCACCTGTGGAGATGTCACGTCTTGGACTCCAGAACAACTGTCAACTACACAGGAGGACACCAACCCGACACCGAGTAGCAGTCACCTGTGGAGATGTCACGTCTTGGACTCCAGAACAACTGTCAACTACACAGGAGGACACCAACCCGACACCGAGTAGCAGTCACCTGTGGAGATGTCACGTCTTGGACTCCAGAACAACTGTCAACTACACAGGAGGACACCAACCCGACACCGAGTAGCAGTCACCTGTGGAAATGTCACGTCTTGGACTCCAGAACAACTGTCAACTACACCGAAGGACACCAACCTGACACTGAGTATCAGTCACCTGTGGAAATGTCACGTCTTGGACTCCAGAACAACTGTCAACTACACAGGAGGACACCAACCCGACACTGAGTAGCAGTCACCTGTGGAGATGTCACGTCTTGGACTCCAGAACAACTGTCAACTACACAGGAGGACACCAACCCGACACTGAGTAGCAGTCACCTGTGGAGATGTCACGTCTTGGACTCCAGAACAACTGTCAACTACACAGGAGGACACCAACCCGACACTGAGTAGCAGTCACCTGTGGAGATGTCACGTCTTGGACTCCAGAACAACTGTCAACTACACAGGAGGACACCAACCCGACACTGAGTAGCAGTCACCTGTGGAAATGTCACGTCTTGGACTCCAGAACAACTGTCAACTACACAGGAGGACACCAACCCGACACTGAGTAGCAGTCACCTGTGGAGATGTCACGTCTTGGACTCCAGAACAACTGTCAACTACACAGGAGGACACCAACCCGACACCGAGTAGCAGTCACCTGTGGAGATGTCACGTCTTGGACTCCAGAACAACTGTCAACTACACAGGAGGACACCAACCCGACACCGAGTATCCGTCACCTGTGGAGATGTCACGTCTTGGACTCCAGAACAACTGTCAACTACACAGGAGGACACCAACCCGACACTGAGTATCAGTCACCTGTGGAGATGTCACGTCTTGGACTCCAGAACAACTGTCAACTACACAGGAGGACACCAACCCGACACTGAGTAGCAGTCACCTGTGGAAATGTCACGTCTTGGACTCCAGAACAACTGTCAACTACACAGGAGGACACCAACCCGACACCGAGTATCAGTCACCTGTGGAGATGTCACGTCTTGGACTCCAGAACAACTGTCAACTACACAGGAGGACACCAACCCGACACTGAGTAGCAGTCACCTGTGGAGATGTCACGTCTTGGACTCCAGAACAACTGTCAACTACACAGGAGGACACCAACCCGACACCGAGTCTCCCGTGGAAATGCCACGTCTTTCAAATCAAATATCTTTCAGAGTTATTGTCTGAATCCCGATATAAATGCCATATGTTAAAACTTCATTAAGTCTTGTCTAAGCCTATAGTTTTTACTTACAGGTATTTTAAAGAAGGCTACGTTGAAAATTAGTGCAAATTTTCATCAATATATGGTGCCAAAAATAATATTATTATGGGTAGTTGGCAACTGCTTTTAATGTAAGTACACCACTTGGTCTACACATGTGAAAAGCGCAGTTCGACTTTTGCACTTACAAATATACCAGAGCCCTTTTCGGTTACTTGTACTCGCTAGTGGGGTTAGAATTTTTTTCAAGAATCGAGAAAAAAAAATCCCAATGTGGATTCGATCCCGGGTCGTAGAGGTCAAAAACCAACAGTTTAAACCACTCATCCACCAATCTCCTTAAGGGTATCGTTTCAGCTTGGAATACAAAATACTTAATTCGTCGTATTAAAGTCACCTGTATTACTTTTATCTGACCAAAAGGGGCAAGCTAACTTGTGCTTTTGCCATATTGAAAGTTGTAGAGGAGATTTGAAAAACTTCACTGTACCATTTTCTGTTTTTGAAATCATTTGTAGCAGCACAACATAGTGTCATTGAAGCATTACTTGTATGTCTTGTAATCTCTGGAAAATATAATACACTTCAATAGAACCTCTAAATATACTCTTAGAAATTCGAAAAAGAAAGAATAAACAAAATAAAGGTAAAGACTTTCTTTTAATTTTGATTTTCGCAGGTTTTCGAGCAAATTTCTGCTCTTCAACGGGCATATACTTCTATATACAACATCAAGATGAACTTTGTACAGTAATAATTGTTAAAAAAAGGCATCTCCTTATCGTGCAACTGAAAGTTGCTGATGGCTTGCGCCATCTATCGGAATAAATATCAACTATTCTCGTTGATTTTTAATTATTCCAGAATTGGCCAAATACCCATTCTTGATTAATCAAGAAAAGCTAACCACGGACGCGTTTCGGGCTGTTGGCCCTCATTTCACATTGTGTAGCGTTCTCACGCAATTCTGGCCCTAACTACCCGTTTCATGATTTTTCAGGATGCCTTAATGACCAATTTTTTGGTCGTTGAGGTACAGCTTGCACCACGCTGATGAGGGCCAACAGCCCGAAACGCGTCCGTGGTTAGCTTTTCTTGATTAATCAAGAATGGATATTTGGCCAATTCTGGAATAATTAAAATTCAACGAGAATAGTTGATATTTATTCCGATAGATGGCGCAAGCCATCAGCAACTTTCAGTTGCACAATAAGAAGATGCCTTTTTTCTTAAATATTAAAGAAGATGCCTTTTTTCTTAATTTATGCACCTTATCCCAGTACAATATTACATTTGTACTATTTTTCACAGTAATAATTGTGTTATTGACATGTGTGGGCGTGCATCAACCTGTTTACAGCTAAAATATTAGATATTATAATGGGATGAAATATATATTAATTTATAGATTTATATATATATTTATATTTATATATATATATATATATATATATACTAGCGGATGTGTACCCGGCTTCGCCCGGGTTTTATCCGAGTGAAAGTTTGCCTAACGAATATTATATATTATGAAGTATAATAAACAATGCTAAAGATTAGCTTTAATTATTAATCAAGATTGTGTGTGAATATGTGAGAAAGATGTAATATCGTTGTTGTTTTCTTGGCCGACTGTTTTACATGTGGTGTTATCTTAAAATTGCTTGTTTTGAATATTTTTTTAGATTGAGTTGAATGAATTGCTGAATTTTTTTTTTGTATTTATATATAAATAAAATTAACTCTGTTGATTTTTTTTTTGTATTTTATCGATAACAGCAAAGTTATGTATTTTAAAGTTAGGAAAAATATTTTGATGTTAAGCAAAACCTGCTCCATCTCGTTTAACATAAATGTTGAAAATTTGGTCGAAATTGATGCATTGTAACGAAAGTTTTTAGCGAACACCACTTATGAAATTTCCATTTATATAGAAGAATAGATATAATATAAATGAGTTTTAAAAATTGTTTTAAAAAAAATGCATCGGCCGGGAATCGAACCCTGGCCGCCCGCGTGGCAGGCGAGCATTATTCTACCACTGAACCACCGATGCTTTAAAAAAATCAAATTCATTTATCGTCGCGACCAGTGCTGCGCCCTAGCGGTAAAAGACTGGAACTAACGCTTTTTGGTTTTTTATTTTTTAAAAAAAGCACATTAACTTTTTTAGTTTTTTGAATAGCCTATATGTTAAACGAAATCTTCAGCTACCTACATGCGAAATTCCATAATGATTGAGTCAGTAGATTTTGCGTGATGCGATAACAAACATCGATTTCGCATTTCATTTTTATATAGATAAGGAAAGGAAAGGAAGGATATTTCTTCCCATTATAATATCTAATATTTTAGCTGTAAACAGTTTGATGCACGCCCACACATGCCAATAACACAATTATTAATGTACAAAGTTCATCTTGATATGTTGTTGTTGTTGTTTCTTATCCCTTGTTTAAAGATTACACGAATTCCATGAATTCATGCTCCTCGAGCTCATCTTGATATTGTATATAGAAGTATATGCCCGTTGAAGAACAGAAATTTTGCTCGAAAACTTGCGAAAATCAAAATTAAAAGAAACCCTCTTTACCTTAATATTATTTATTATTTATTTTTCGAATAATTTCTAGGTAACTGTTACCCACAGAAAATGACTCTTAGAAATGTTGGCAGTTGTAATGGTATCATGATAATCATTAATTATTCTATTTTTATAAAATTGATTCAACAATTGGAGTTGTTGAGGACTCCAGCTGTTACTGTGGCTAGGAAACCCAGAACACCTACTGTTGGAATTCCCTACAGAGTTAGACAACAGACAGTTACTGATGTACTGTATGAATTTGTAAATAGCAGAGAGAATTGTAACTCCGCCTTTGCCAGTCCCAAGCCCGGATAAAAAAGGAGGAGGGGGAGCAGTAACAAGCTCACTAAAAAACCTGGGCTCAGCTGGCCCGGCTGATAGTACCCTGTAAGGGCTCCTAATCTAGGGATACAGGATGAGCAGCGTTTGTACTCCATGTTAGGAGCGGCTGCACATGGCGTCTGTTCCTCATTTCAGAGGCGACCATTTCTTTTGGAGCTAAGTCGGCCTGATACCGAGTAGTGCTTCCAGTCTTAATGACAAAGGCAGACGCATTCTACTTCACCCAGTCATGATGGTTGTCAAACAGACACCATCAAGGGTCACAACTTAATACCCTAATATGATTGAGTGGAGATAAGGAAGAAGAAGAAGAGAGAATTGTCAAGAGATTTAACCACTTTTGTAAAAATATATTTAACTTATAGAACGACATTTGAAAATTATCCCTCATGTGTTTGAACGAAAAATCTGAATATATTTTAAGGAGAAATAACGAATATTTATAACCTTAGGGATGAAGTATGAAAGGATGAATTGTGAAGAGTAATGATAAACGGAAAAATAAGTGGACATGGCATCTGCCAGGTAAGTGGAACACTGTGGGTTCGATTCCCATCCCTGGACACATTATTTTTCCGTTTAGCATTACTCTTCACAATTCATCCTTTCATACTTCATCCCTAAGGTTAGAAATAATCGTTATTTCTCCTTAAAATAAAATTCGATTTTTCGTTTAAAAGAAACACATGCGGGATAATTTCAAATGTCGTTCTACAATCATAAGCCACATTATATTCAATTATATTTGACTTATACACACACACACACACACAAAGCCTTTATTGAGACTCTCTGGTCTCACACAGATTCTCCATTATATGAGAAGGGGTATTTTATAAGTAAAAAAAAAAGAAATTTAAGAAAGAAACATTTAATTAGACGTCTTTGATTTTCTCGGCCTTCATGTAAAATTTATATACACCTTTCCCCCGATTTACACGGTACTTGTTTTACACGTTTTCGCTTTTACACGGTTTTCCAAATTTTTTGTTTTTGTTTTTATCGCACTTTACTAAATGCTACTGTGATTGAACACATGCGTTGTGTACACATCTCACGAGGAATCCCGAGCTTTTGTGCTGACTACATATTTTAACCTGTCAATGCATTTTATTTTTATTTCTGTGTACACCTATCCCCCGATTTACACGTTTTTCTCAGGAACGTATCTACCGTGTAAATCGGGGGATAGGTGTACAGTTAAACCTGTCTATAGCGCCCCCTCTAAATATTGCCTTCCTCTCTATAGCGCCCAATTTTTAAACATTAAAATGTCAACATTTTACATTAAAAGTGACCTGTTTATATAGCACCCCCTATCTGTAGCACCCTATTTTGGTGAGTCCCAAGAGAGGGCGCTATAGACAGGTTTAACTATACATTTAATGTAAATGGCCTATTATCTGACAGGGTTGATATTAAATAATATAATGAGGCCTGAGAATTTCCCCGGAGAAGCAATATACGAGGGTTGTCCGTTAAATAAGTTCCACAGAGGTTTTTCATACAGAAAAACACGTTTATTTGCCCTGAACTATACATTTTCGAAAATATCAGACTTTTTTCATTTTTCTACATATTCCCCGTTTCGTTCTACGCATTTTTGCATTCGGTACACCCACTTATGGAACCCAGAGTCGAAGAACTCTGCCGCCTGGCCACGTAGAAGCCTAAAACCGCTTCTTCCAACTCGTCATCGTCCTGGAATTGGGTTCCCCCCAGGTTTTTCTTCAAATCGGGGAAGAAATGGAAGTCACTAGGAGCTACGTCCGGGCTGTAAGGTGGGTGTGACACCAATTCCCATTCAAATTCTTCGATGAGGGCGGTGGTTTGACGGGCGGTGTGCGGCCGAGCGTTGTCGTGGTGAAAACGCACCCCTTTGGTTAACATCCCTCTCCTCTTGTTCTGAATCGCGCGTCGAAGTTGTTTTAAGGTCTTACAGTACCGGTCGGAATTGATTGTTGTACCCAGACGCATAAAGTCGCACAACAATAGGCCCTTTCGGTCCCAAAAGACGGTACCATAAGTTTCCCGGCAGAAAGTGTTTGTTTAAACTTTAGAGGTTTCGGCGAAGAAATGTGATTCCACTGCTTGGATTGCTCCTTTGTCTCCGGTGTGGTGTAGTGTACCCATGTCACATCACCAGTAACGATCGAATCCAAAAATTCCTCTCCGTCAGTTTTGTGGCAATCGAGAAATTTCTGGGCCACATAAACCCGCTGCCGTTTATGGTCTTCAGTCAGCATTTTCGGAACCCATATTGCGCAGACCTTTGAATACCCTAAATGTTCACGCAAAATCTTGTCGATGGTGGTTTTACTGACATCAGGAACCAAATCGCAGAGCTTCCGCACAGTAACCCGTCGATCTTCAAGCATTGCCGCTTCGACTTTGGCAATGGTTTCGTCCGAAACCGATGGCCGTCCAGCACGCGGTTCATCGTGGACGTCTGTTCGGCTGTTTTTAAATTCTCTGACCCATCTGCGCACCATCCCGGAACTCATACACCCTTCTCCATACACTTGACAGAGTTCAGTATGAATGTCCTTCGCCGAATTCTTCTTTGCGGCCAAAAATCGAATTACTGACCGTAATTCGCAGCTGGCGGGAGACACGAGGGGAAGCTCCATCACTAACGGCTGCTCAGCCAAGACTAAGCTTACCAGCGACGTGTCCTTGGTGTGAAATTGGAGTGAGGAGAACAAGCTACGAGCCCGTGCAGTCGGCTCGAGCCTAAAAGCGATCCTCACGACAGTGGTGCCCCGTGGAACTTATTTAACGGACAACCCTCGTATATAAGCAAAAATGGTACAAATGTGAAATTGTACTGGGATAAGGTGAATAAATTAAGTAAAAAGGCATCTCCTTATCCTGAAAATGAACGTTGCTGATGGCTTGCGACATCTATCGGAATAAATATCAACTATTCGTTGATTTTTAATTATTATTTATTGGCCAAATACCCATTCTTGATTAATCAACACTTTTTAAGACAGGCTGTGGTATAATTTCTCAATCAGCACTTTTGTCTGAAGATGGTAACAACACTGTTACTGTCATACACTATTTATTTATTTTGTCTTATTACCTTATGTCTATGAGTGTATTTTTATAGCTTGGCAAATTTTTCTAAGATAATAAAACAACAAATTTAGAGTTAGGAAATGAAAATATTTAAGCGCACAAATGTTTCTTTCATACACAAAACAAACTCCTACTATTTTTACTGTGATGAAAATATATTGGGAGGGCCTGGCTCATCAGTGGTGAATCCTCCCAGCGGTTTCTCCAATTTAATCTACCAGACCACATCTTAAGAGCTCTAATACTGTATTGGATCATTCTGCTTATATATGCTACACTGAAGGGTGGAATCTCAGAAATGGTATTCAAGTAAACTTTGGGTATAAGCTTTTAGTACAGTAGAATTACATATACATATTTACATTGAGCAATGTTCTTCCTCAAACAATAGGTACAAGGCCAGTTAGGTATAAAATAATATAAAGCAATAATGCACCACATATATATAATAGTACAATATCACATTTGTACTATTTTTTCATATATATATAGAAGCATAGGGTAGCTATAGATTAATTTCCACCCCTCGAATTTTACATCTATATATATATATATGTCATAATATATACTCTTCCAGGAATAATAAAGCAAACCTAGAGCCAGCCCAGAGAGAGACGGGATGTAAAGTCCGGTCACTTGAGACAGCAGCGACATTCCAAGGGGCGGCAAATGGGGTCCGTCCGTTGACACCTTGGGACTTTTAAGACAGTTGGTGATTGTGTGCGACACGAACGGCCGCTCAGCGGTGGCAGGCCCGTCTCTCTCCCTCTCTCTCTCTGGTTGTCTGGGTTCCTTCTCCAACTTGTGGTGTCCTTATTTCTCTCCCCACCTTATATTGCCACATATATATGTTATAAAAATAGGATTTTCTGTTGATTTTTAATCATCTTGAGGATTATGCTATGTTAATGCAGTCATGGTAATAATTAAATAAAATAAGTTATCAAAAATAGCTTTAATTGGGCTAAAGGAATATATAAAAAAAACATGATTTGATAAAAATACTGCCTGGCTTAAGGCGTAAGAATCAAAAAATGAAGAAC